TTCTTCTTCTTCTTCTTCTTCTTCTTCTTCTTCTTCTTCTTCTTCTTCTTCTTCTTCTTCCCCCTCACTCTCACACCTTACACCCCACGCTCCACCCCTCCCCTCCTCTTCAAACCCTAAAGAAAGCAAAGAACCCTCACCCAGCCTATCCCCTTCATCCCCAATCCTACCACCCCTACCCACCCAGGTCCAATCAACCCTTCCCACCTCCGCCTCACTATCTACCAGCCGCTGCCGCCGCGACCCATCCCACCCCCGTGACCCCGGTTTGCAATAATCTTTCACTTTGTCTTCTCTGTGGTGCACCTGTGCCGTGAGTGGATGTGACGGGTAAGGCAGGACGTCTTCGGAGGAGGAAAAGGAGCAGGAGAAAGGGAAGAGAGGGCGCCGGGTATTGGGGATGCGGATGCGGCGGGAGGGTGTGGGGTCCCAGTAAGGGGTGTGTTGGGTTGCAGTGTCACTGCAGTTAGGGATTAGGGAGGAGGTTATGGATATGGCTGTTGAGCAGTGGCTGGGAAGAGAGTGTGATTTTTGTGGAGATGCAGGGTTGATGATGGTGGCGGTGCTGGGTTCTATGATGGTAGTGGTTGGTTTGATGATGATGGTGGTGGGCATTTTGACTGATGGTTGGTATGCTTTGTGTATGAGGGTAGGGAAACAGCAGAAGATGAATGCCATGTTTTATAGTTGTTTATTAGATGGTTAACTTTAAATGCTCTTTGATATATACAGGATATTAGTTTCATAAAACACGTTGAAAAAATAACTGTCGTGAAAGCCTGAACTATGGTTTGGCTGCAAAAAGGTGGTAATGCAACACGATATACTCGCTACACTCTCGTACCAGAGTATCCCTCCACGAATCCCATATCACCAATATCAAACCCTTTCAACCCTATCCGTCGCCCCCTTCTCCCCTACACTCTCACCACCCACGCTTACTCCCCTTTCTTCCCCTTTCTCAATCGCCGCACCCTCCGTCACATGATTCTTCCCTCCAAACAGAGCATCCATCTCCTCCAGACTAACCTGCTTCGTCTCTGGAACAAAAAACCATGTAAAAGCCGCAAGCAGGATGTTAATAGCAGCAAACATGTAAAAAGCGTAAAACCCTTCGTTTTTGAGGAAAATGGGGAAGAACTGCTGGACAATGGAGTTGACGACGTTTTGGGTTTGCGAGCACATGCCCACAGCTTGCGCGCGTACGTTCATCGAGAAGATTTCGGCGGTGAAGATCCAGACGGTTGCGCCCCAGGAGGGTTTGTCTATTGTCCGTTATTAGTGGGAGTTGAGGTTTGAGGAAGGTGAGCAAAGGAAAGTGACTTACAGAAAAAGGCGAACAGAAACATGATGAAGACGATGGAGATACCGACGGGTTGCGACTTTGCTCCGTTGGGGAGCGACGGTGTTTGAGTTTCGACGGTCGCGGCGATTAACATGCATAGGCCCATGCCGATGCCGCCGAAGATGAAGAGGAACTTGCGGCCGAAGCGGTCGACGGTCCATGTTGCATTGAGAGTGAAGAGGATGCTGAAAGTGGCGTTAAGCGCGTTGATGAGCGAGATTGTGTCTGCGCTTTCGAAAACCTTCTTATAGATGATTGAACTGTAGGTGTTGAGGGTGCCTTGACCGGTGATTTGCTGGCCGCCGTTTACAATCATGGCAATGTACATGCGTTTCCTGATTGACTTGTCTTTCCAGAGAGCAGAATATCCTGAGGAAATTGATTCGGCCTCGAATTCAATGGCCTCTCGAATAGTCCTGATTTCGTCTTCGATCTCCTCTTCGGTGTCGCGGATGCGACCGAGCGATTGACGAGCTTTCTCGTAATCACGGCTCTTCTGCACGTACCAGCGAGGCGACTCTGGAATGAAGAAGACTTGAGACAGAATGATTATGGGAACGAGCATCTGGAAGATGACAACAATCTTCCAGTCCCACTCACCAAGCTTCTTCGGGTTCTTGGACGTGCCGAAGCTGATCCAGTAGGCGATGAAAGAGCCAACCGAGTAGAACATTTGCCAGAAAGACATGATCTTGCCTCGAATCTCAGACGGGCACACTTCGGAAATAAAGATGGATCCAGCTGTGAGCGCAAGACCTTGCCCGATACCGATGAGGACCCGACCGACGATGAAGACACCAATTTGACCACGGGGCGCGAATGTTTGCATCAACGTTGCGACAATGACACATACCGCTCCAGCAGCCATACCCGCTCTTCGACCAGCAAAATCGGCAAGAGGACCGCCCTACATAAGAAGTTAGTAAACTTGATGTTATTCCTCACTGAATAATATCTTACCATGAAGAATCCTGCTACAACAGCTCCGACTGTATAAGAAGTATTAATGGCCCCAATGATATTAGGCCCCGGCTTATTGAAATAAGCCTTCCAATGATCAGAATTCTGAAGCGCGTTGAAAACAGACGCATCGTAGCCGTAGAGAACCATGCATGATGCAGCAACGAGTGAGATGTACCAGTTGTACGCTCTCGTTGCGGAAACCATCTTGATGTTGGCTCTTTAGATCTACTTCTCAAAACACCGATACAAACAAAGCAATCGAGAAGGGTGTGTCCGGCTGGAATTCCGCAGAGTATACAGCGGTTGATCCGTGGAGCTCAGGACTGGAGAGCAAATAAAGGAGACTGGGTTGACCATATATACATACATGGCACGCTCCTATCTGCCTATACGGGAATAGCTATCATTGAATATAGCAAGACCCATAAAACCCCATGGGCTCGGAACGCTGCTACCAACATACCTAATCTTCGTAATCTGCCGCTACTCCGGGAACCCCGTATCGCCACGAATCATCTCGCCTAGAAAGCTTCAAAGATTTGCTCTAGTGCCAAAAAGCGCATACGCTCACCACCTTAGAATCCATCGTGCCGTGATTTAGTGAATCTGGGGGAACCTCGAGGCTCAATAGTTTGCTCGTAACAAGGAGACTCGATCCACTTTAGTGGATTGGGGTGTCGTCGCAGGTGATTTTCCACGAATAGGCACTATGTGACAAAGCGTTGAAGCGCCGTTGTTTTCGGGGGTTCACAGCGCGGGATAGAGCCGATAGAGCGATCAGTGCTTGCTCTAACCTCGGAGTGGTCAAGATTGTCGGCTGTTTAGTCGCAAACGAGTAGTAGTTGCTTCACCGCAAGCAGGCCAAGCCTAGACTCAAGGAAATTGCGGCTGCAGGAAGCTTTTGGGTGCAGGCTGGGCTGTCTTGTTTTCACGTCGACAGAGCTTCGGGATTACCAGCATGGTGCTTGTCAGTGTTCGAGTTTAGTGCCCCTTAAGCGTTGCTGTCTCGGTTGTTGCAAAGCCGCTCCGTGGGATCATAAATGTGACAATAGGGCTGAATTTTCAAAGTTCCATGATTCATGCCAGAGGGTATGCCTTGATAGCCAGCGGTGGAGCCATGTGGACTGGCGTGATGGAGCGCGTTGACCTCCGTGCTGAAACCAGCAAGTGCCAATACTTACATACGTCGCGTATTGGTCCTCGGAGACATCAAAGTAACACGTGCACAGTGACACAGATAGGATTGAGTGGCTGGTTGAGTACATACATTGCGCAACATGTTGTAGTCTAGCCAATATATATATACTTACGACCAACAAGTCGGTCAGCGCTAAGATGGACTCATCCAAGGTAAATAGCAGAATCACGTGCTTACGAGCCACGAAACAGTGGCGGTGCACACCATCCCACTTTTCCTAGGCTTCGAGACCGAGACCCTTTCTCACCGCCCGCAACCAACCCTCGTTTTCCACGCCTCAAGTGAATACCTCCCACTCCAACTTTTCGTCCAAAAATCTACCTCGTAACACACGCTACACTCAAGATGCCTTCAGGACAGGGAGGTACGTACACACCAAAGCCTCTGCGCACAAACGATGCGGGGTCAGGCAAACGACGTTATATACCGCAGAAGACTAACTCGACAACTCAGCGGGTACCAACCCCATTCACAACAAGAAGCCGAAGAAGAAGGCTGCCGAGCTCGACGAGGATGACATCGCACACAAGAACAAGCTCGCTGCCGGTATGTTACCCTCCGCCTATCTCCCGCTGCCTAGAATTTCCCCCCTCTGAAGCGCCACCATCACACACATACACACAAGAAAGTATACGGATAGGTAGACTGACAATACACGCAGACAAGAAGGCGCGCGAGGAACTTGCCAAGACGGTCGGCAAGGGCAAGGGCCCACTCAACACGGGATCCCAGGGTATCAAGAAGTCTGGCAAGAAATAAGCGCTGGGCTTGACCTGACGAGCGAGAGACGGAAGATATGGGCATGACGATTCGATATGAGATACCACTGACTAGGGGCCGCTTGTTGGCGAGAGCGGGTTGATATAAACGACGATAAATGCATGGGATAAGCCACCAGTGACTCTTTTGTGACTTTTAGAGCCATGTTTGGTCGAGCTGCATGAGTGCCGTTCTGTCGTGATGGCGTGAGGCCGCACTGGGACGCTAATTTTGGTTTCCGCTAGACGCAGTCGGATCCAGTGTTGAGAAGATATTTGTGCAGACTAGTCCTCGATCAATCAAGTCGGTTGTTCGTTATTCTCCATGCTACGTTTGCGGCACTTGTTGGTTTAAACAACCGTCTTAATTATTAGACTCAACCAGTGAATTATATAACCCCAAGTTTTCTCAACACCACACCTCCTCTTCCTCCCAACACCCCTTATCATCCCTTTCTCTCTCTCTAAACCAATAGTCCCTCGCATACAGCATACACCTATCTATGCCTTATCCGTGCAGGCTACATATGCGAATACCTAGTGAGACATCAAGTGTTTTGCGTACGGTAGCTACGAGTCAGTGTCCCAAGACCAAGGCGAAAAGACAATATATTATCATTACTAGAACGGTAGTGGATCGCCGATGAGATAGCACACAAGTATCAGTGGGGTTGTGGAATAACGAAGATTGTTATTCTGACTTGACCATCATCATGACGCTTTGGTGGCATTACCCAGATACCAAAGGGTGCTTTACTGTTTAGAGACAGCGGAGGTATGGTCTAGGGCCATGTACATGTCAGTGATGCCAGTGCCTGCAGTGGCACATTAACACATCACAGTAAGGCGCAAACGATAATCCAGTTTAAATCATTGGAGTGAAGAGTAAAACAAATAATATTCAATACATGTTCTAATCCATGTACGTATATTGCAGAAAGTAAACTTTTTTTGCCTCTTCATCTATTCAGAGGAAAAATAAATGTGCGAAAACGTACTCCTTTACCCTTCCTCGGCTTACGTCCTCCTATTACTTTTCCTAATCGGAATACGACGCGTAGTCGAGTACTTGTCAGGCTTCTCTTTCAGATAAGGAAAGTTGCCTCAACTGGAGCGGGGTTGCAAGTTGTAGTACAGGTGGGGCAAGGCAGTCGACTTTCGCGGGAGTGGGCGGGATTGATGACGTTTCCCGGACATTTTTTGCTGACTAGAGCCAACAGGGGGAGGAGAAATGACGGGACCATGGCAGGTCAGGTGTGCGACTGGTAGTTCTCTTCCAACACTTGGTCGAGAGCATGTGGGTGCGCATATGGAATCGTCATGGTGATATAACCATTGTTGCATGATGGGGTGTGTGTAGAGTAAGAGTAGGGCGTTCATGCAAGGGGGAACGCATTAGGCTATGCTCGCTCATGTTGAGCGACGACCTTTTTTGCCGCCGATGGTGAAGGCCCGTTTGATTTTGCTTTCAGTGGTGGGCGAGGTCGGCATCATAGTGGCAGAGGTGCTTCCTGAGCGGCGAGGTTCTGAACTCCCTGATGATTGGGATGAAGACCTCTTGCGGCGTTCCTCTGCGAGGATGTCGTCCAGGGAGACATTGAGATGTGGGTGACTGATGGGGACCTCTTCGAGGTTCTCGACGAAGCGAGATGCCATTGTAGTAGTGGTGGGAATTGGTGGTTGAATGTGGTAGTATGTGTGGGTAGTTGTGAAGAGGGTAGTGTGGGTGGGGGGAGGCGTGTGGATCTATATAGGTCTACTTGAATGGTATAGACTTGGATTGATAATATGATCCACCTCCCAAGGGAAAAGGGTCCACGCGTTTACCGCTAAGGAACGAAGGCGGAGGACGTTCCAGACTCCAGGGTGGCGTTGTCCGGGATGGGTTGACCAAGATGGTAGGTAGGAACGAGGAACGGAAATGAAGTGTGGCAGTGGAGGAATACGACGAGCGAATGGGTGAAGGGACGGTAAGACGAGTTGAGCCGAGGAGCAGGGACAAAGACAGGATATGCAAGGGCAGCGAAAGGCTTTTAAGGTCATCCAGGGCGCGAGTGAAATAAGATGAGCAGGTGGGCACCCGCTGTAGAGCGCGAGAGAGAGTGCGTGTGTGCAACGGCAGGGGTCGGGGATTCAGGGTCTTGCCGATCGCGATGGTCTCGATGCATAATAACGGCGGGACTAACGACTGGGAATGACGTGCCGGCGTGTTCTGGACGGCCTGTGGACGGGCGAGCCAGCTGGCATTAGAGCGGGCGTAACCGCGTGCAACCAACCTGTGTGTCACTGATTATTGCCGGCGACGAACGCGCTGAAAATAGCAGCCTCCCCCAGAAATACGGCGTTTGTAAGGGTTGCCCAAGCCATCTGGATGCGCCATAGACCACACACGTCGTCTCGGCAGCCGTGGGCAGCACAAGAATTCGCCTCGTCGCCTCCTGTTGCCTGGCGGTCTGCACCCAACAGCGATAGGCCCTGGAGACTCTTGACCAGCATGCGCAATCCTTTTGCCACAGGTCCTCCAGCTGTCCTTTCTGTGCGGTGTAGGTGTAGGCTGCAATATCGAGTCTGAATAAGCGAGCAACAGAAAAATTAACCTCTAAGCAAGTGTGTGCAGATCAATACGATCTCCAGGCAGCGTGCGAAACAAGCCCGAGGCCAAAAAGTGTATCCCGATCGAAGCGCGCGTTGGTGGTGTTGACATGCTCGTCCGCAGACGGCATTCCGCATGTTGTGTGTCAGTCTAGCCCCGCTGCGGGCGGTGGGCACACACCACTGGGCACGAGGGCATGGCTATCTGTATTCCCCGGTCTGTGACGTAGGACGAGGGCGCAACCCAATATCACAGCCACCGTCTTATTAATTGTCGTCGTCCGGAAGCGGTCTGGTACACGCAATGGCTTCGGCTCATGTTGCCAGCAAACGGCTGCAAAAGGCCAGCCGCGTTTTTTTCAGCGACGGAAATTTGCACCAGCTGCGGTCCCGCAAACCCTCACCGTCGTCTACATCATCGTGCAAGGGGCTGCCGTCAAACCGTCGTGTGGTGCGCTTGGACCCTAATGCACCTCTGACTCTGTAACAACCGTTAGTCTCCAGACTTTTGCGCCATCCGTCACGTCAACTGCCTCCCATAGGGCCAAGGTTTGCATCTCACGACGCCGAGTACCCTATGCTAGCCCCATCCGTCCGTGAATGTACTCTGCTTCCAGCTAGTCTCTGGGGCATTCAATAGAACTATCAATGTACATCATCATCATGAGCATGTGCTCCCCTGTGCCTGCCTGCGACTCTTGTCGCTAAAATCGCTAATGCGGGGACTGCATATGCCTGCGCTGCCCACACTGACCACGAGATACAAGTCTCCACAAAGCTATACAAGGCCTGGCAAAATACCAACCTCCTCATGCGCTGCCAGCTCAGCCCTCGTCTTGTTCTGCGACGCAGAGCAGCCCAATCTCCCATCACGCGGAGACGCATTAACCTGTCTTCTGTTTGGCACTTGGCCATTCATCACCACCCTCCCCGACCACGTCCGCCTCTTCCGCCGCGTCCACGCCCTCCATGCCCTTGGCCGCGTCCACTGCCTCTCTTTCCCCAGCCGCCTCTGCCCCCACCTCTACCTCCCCCTCGGTTCGCCCGCTGTTGTTCCGGTCTTGGTCCGCATGATGCTAACTGTGCCCGCTCTTCATCCGACGCATGAAACACGTTTGGTATCTGCACTAGATCGCAAAATCTTTGTGTGTGCGGGTTGCTGTACTCACTCGGTTGCTCTTGCACATGAATGCCCAATGCTGCATCATATGTAGGCGCCGTTTGCGCAAAGTCTTCCGGCACCATCATCTTGTTGGCCTTGACTATATTCTCCTCGACCCACTCCATTTCCTTCTCTATAAGTGGTCGGTAGAAAGCATCTCCTTTGTCTCGAGGTACTTGGAAATGTGGGTCTCCAACCTGCACATGATCAGCAAACACGCGGGTGATGGCCAGCCATTCCTTGTCGTATTGCAATTCCAACGGACGTTGTAGCTCGGCAGGCTCATGTGGCTCAATCTCCAACAACTGTAAAAAGTTCCGTTTAGGCAAACACTTGTCCAGTGCAAGAAATTTGGTTGTCTTGTTCGTGATCTCTTCGGGGAAGGGTAACGTCGGTGCAGGCTCGAGTTTCGGACGGGAAAAAGATTCTGGCAACAAGCTTCGAATGTCCTGGGATATCTCGGACTCGCTTTCAGTCGTCGTAGGCTTACTTTTCTCCTTGTTATCCACTACGGGTGCGGCGGGAGCTTCGTCTTCATCCATGCCAAGGTCGATTTCGGCGTCATTCTTTGGTGCTGACACATCCGCGTCGTCTGCCATGTCGAGATCAATCTCACTTGCGTTCACTGCTGCTGCGGGCGCACCTTCTGTATGGTTACTTTGCTCTATACTGTTCGAAATGTCCACGTGCTTCCATACAGCAGGAAACTTGGCATGCATGTGAGCACTAAACCAGTGAGGTGGCCGTAGGCGTTCCAAAACTGTTTTGGCAGCGACACTCCCCAAGGTACCATCTTTTGCCTCTTGTTCAAAGTCAGGCTTCCATTTGAAAAGCTGTCGGAAGTTACCCTTCCATTCCATGCCCCGTGGCCAGTCGTGGCTTAGTCCGATATCAACTTGCGTTCGTATTTGGAGAAGCTTGCGCACTTCAAGCTCTCGAACATGATATATACTCTTCACGTCGTCGCTGTTATAAGGCAGGCGTTCGTAGTGCGGCTTCTTGAAGTTGTAACCTTTCCAGATGCCAGACAGACCAGCGATACGCAGCGGACCCAGTCGTATCACATTTGCTGCGCCCATGTAGTATATCTTCGGTGCAGCCCACCCGCCATAGGAAAGCTCCCACATGTAATTGCTCGCTTCGTGATTACCGCCAATGAATATGGTGAGATATGGGGCGAGGCGTGCACCTGAGTAGTACTCGTGGAAGTCGTGCATGGCGTAGTATTTCGAAGGCATTGATACTGCCTTGAGGTCTGAGGCATTTCGAACAGCCTACAAAGTCGGTTACTGTAAAAGCGCTGTGATGAGTACACGTACCTGAAAGTCTCCACCGATGATCAGAAGATCCACATCAGGCCAACCTTTGATCTCGCATGATTTCGCGACTGATGCATAGATCTCATGCAGCACTCCGTGACCGCAACCCTCTACTGCTATGCGCAGCCCATGCTGTTCGATTAATTCAGGCATTGCCATTCTTGGTGTCTCAAAGCAGCGGATTTCAGTGAGCCTGCGGCCGAAATGCTACTAACTGATTGCTTGTGCAGTACATACGCGCAAGCAGTCGCGGTCTAGGCTAACAACAAACACTCGAATCCAGAAAGTTGTCAAGCGAGAGGGGACCTGCAGCTGCTAGCGTCGGAGATCGGCGTTATGATAAGAAGCAGGCACGTGCTGATATCGGACCTGTAGGAAGCTCTCCAAGCTCTGCACCGAGATCACACAGGTGCTCCAACAATGGTACCAAACGATGAAATCAAAGCGCGGGAGAGATTCCTCCAAGAGGCTGCTCATCTCCTCGCCGTCTCTTCGCCAACAGCAGCAGCATTCATTGGGAGGGCACACCACAAGTTTATCGAAGATGCTGAGATCGAAATTCCAAGTAAAGAAGCCGATGCCTATCGACGCAGCATTTGCAACGCTTGTGGAAACATTATGATTCCAGGATGGTCATGCAAAGTCTCAAACCACCTTCCCGGTGAAGGCCCTACAAGGAAAGACAACAAGGGATTCAAGAAGCTACCACAGCTAGAGAAAAGCATCCGCTATACTTGCTTGATGTGCCATCGGGAGACAGTCCAAGCACTTCGGCACAAAGCACGCAGAAAGAATAAGAAATCAGCACCTGTGCTAGATGCAGCGCCCGTTCCAACATCAAATAATCCAGCAAAGGAAGTCGACAACGCGCCCAAGACGCTGAATGCCAGCAGTAAGCAAAGACAAAAGGCACGGAAAGGCGGCTTGCAAGCAATGCTCGACAAAAAGAAGTCGCAGAACTCGGCCAGTGGCGGCCTCGACCTTATGGATTTTGCCATGTGAATTCCGTAGGGCTGAGTAACCGCACCTTGCTAGGATGCGCTGCGGCTTAGCGAACCCCCGCTATGTGACGCGGGGCGATTCAAAAAAATTCCAGCACCTTCGTCATCGGGACTTGCAGAGTCACCTCACATAAACCAGCATCTAATCTCTTTCACCTTATTCTACGAAAAATCAAATACCCGGTTTCAACATGGCACAACACAAGAGTCTCGCAAAGGACCTCTTCCAGGACATGGGCAGCAAGGTCGAGGAGGCCAGCGCCCAGCCAGACAGCGAGGACGGCAGCAAAGTTGTCGATGAGATTGAAAGTTTGTGCATGAACTGCCATGAAAATGTAAATGTAGCGGCAAGATTTCCATATGACCAGCTAACACTTTTCAAGGGAACTACTCGGTTGCTTCTTACCAGGATACCGTTCTTCCGCGAGATCGTTCTCATGTCCTTCTCATGCCCGCACTGCCATTTCAAAAACTCCGAGGTCCAGCCCGCTGGCGAGATACAACAGAAAGGAGTGCGCTTCTCTCTCAAGGTCGACAACGCCGATGACCTCAACCGACAGGTTATCAAGAGCGACACAGCAATCTTTCGAGTCGAAGATATCGATCTAGAGATACCTCCAGGAAGAGGGCAGCTGACCAATGTTGAAGGCATTCTCACCATGGTTGCACAAGACTTGGAGCAAAAGCAGGACGAGAGAAAGGAAGTAGTACCTGAGATCTACGAGCAGCTACAGGGCGTGATCAACGCGATCAAGCAAATGGCTAGCGGAGAGAAGTTGCCGTTCAAGGTGACGGTTGACGACCCTGCTGGTAACTCGTCGATTGAGCCTCCAAGTGTACTCGCCGCGGGCAAATACTCACGAAACGAGTACGCGCGAACTGCAGCACAGAACGAAGCGCTGGGCCTTGGAGATACCAGTGGCGAGGCCCCTGCCACGGAGATCCGACCAGAGTACCACGCTTCACAAATGTACCCTGAGATGCCTTCGGCTCATCAGCCCATGGTCAACAACATAGACGATGATGATATTCTAGAGAACCAAGTTTACTCGTTCCCTGCCAGTTGTCCTGGATGCACCAAGTCGTGCACTACCAACATGAAGATGGTCAATATTCCTCACTTCAAGCAAGTAGTCTTGATGAGCACCGTGTGCGAGCATTGCGGATGTAAGTTGGAACCTAAGAAACGCGACATGATCACTCGCTAACGTGCAGTAGACCGCAGCAATGAAGTTAAGACTGGTGGTGAGGTTCCTGAGAAGGGTCGTATTATCACTGTCGCAGTCAACAACAAAGAGGATCTGTCGCGAGATATCCTCAAGGCTGAGTCGTGCGCCATGTCTTGCCCTGAACTCAACCTCAGTGTTGAGCCCGGTACGCTTGGTGGCCGATTCACAACTATCGAAGGTCTCCTTACTCAAGTACGCGACGACTTGAGATCTTCGATTTTCGATGTTGGCGATGGCGGTGATTCCATGAACACGGAGACAAAACAGAAGTGGAACACCTTCTTCAACAGTCTCTCAGCAGCCATCAACGGCGACGACAAGTTCACCATTACCCTTAAGGACCCCCTTGCCAGCAGCTATGTCCAGAGCTTCACCGCACCAGAGCCAGATCCGCAAATCAAGGTCGAGGACTACGAGCGGACAGAGGAAGAGGAGGAGGATCTGGGTCTCAAGGACATGAAGACAGAGGGTTACGAAGAGCATGCTGCGACGAACGGTGCGACCACCAATGGCGAGACTACCAATGGCGCATAAGTGTTCGATCAATTCCACGTGCTGTAGATTTCCTTGACTCTTGTTGCAATGGATCGGCGCTTCTGAAGATACCAGGGCCTCGCCAGCCCCGATGAATACAAAAAAGTTTCCATGTCCCTAGTTTGATGGCCGGTGGTTGTGCTTGTGTGATACTCGTAGTGAGTGATATTATCATGTGTGATGTTTCCGTTGCTTGGCTTGTTGCTCAGCCCGCCAGAGGGTTGGCATGTATGGTGACATTCTTGATTTCAATCCTTTCCTGTGGGCGCGACTTCTTGTCCACCTGCACCTGCTCTATATCATCCAAGACCTCCCAGCCCTCCAGAACCTTGCCAAATACGGTGTTCTTCCCGTCCAGGTGCGGGGCAGGCGCAAAAGTGATAAAGAACTGAGAGCCGTTGGAGTTGGGGCCTTTGTTTGCCATGCTCAAGATTCCTCTGGCATTGTGTCTCAGCGCTGGCCTGATTTCGTCTTCGAAGAGCTGGCTTGGCGTGTCGAAAATGGAAGTCGAAGTCTTGGACTTGGGATCGGAGGCGGGCGAGCCGGTCTGAACCATGAATGAGGGAATCATGCGATGGAAAGGCGATCCATTGTAGAAGCCAGACGCGCAGAGGGCGAGAAAGTTCTCTGCAGTTTTAGGCACGGTTTCGCAGAAGATTTCGAGTTTGATGTCGCCTTTGGTAGTGTGTAGCTTGGCGCGGTTAGAAGGTTATCTCCTGGAAAAAAGTATTGAAAGGGGATTGGTAGGAACTTACAGTGACGGACATGGCGGTGGTGGTAGTGTTGTTGGGCAGAGGGAAGGATTGCGCGTGCAGATGCGTAGGAGCAGACGCGGCGAGGTTGGAGAGCTTACCATCTCCACCCTCGCCGCGGCTAGAACATGGTGCGTCAGCCCCATCCCTACGTACACTGTTGCAATCGCCCTGCATTCGCTATCATCGCCATTCCCCTAGCCTTCTTGTGCCCCTGGTATATGCCCTGGCCTGGTGCTCCACTCCATCATTAGGCGCGCCAGCTCTCCAAGCTCCAACTCCAGCTCAGCTCAACATAGCCAGAGCCCTACCAGTCTTGGGACATAGTAACCCACCACAGGCACCAGCCTGCCCGCACACCCACTTGCTACATCTCGTATCTTCCTTGCCTCCTCGCCCGTCGGCCCGCTGCGCAGCCTCGGGCTCCCCTGCCGCCCATCCAGAGAGACCCCGCCGGTTCAAGATTCGAGGCGTGCGCCTTACATCGCCCTAACCCCACACTCCCGCGGCCCTCAAGGCTGCCTACCAGTAGCTCCAGCACACCCTCCGCACAGCTATCTAGTCGCCCACTTCACTGCACCCTCGAGCGACCATATTCAGCGCGAGGCCTGGGTGCTCAAAGGCCACGGTCACGCTCATGCAGCGCCAGCTGCAGTCCCAGGCTTGCGCTGTGAGATTCAAACATGTCGGCCTTTGTGCGCGTCTCAGGACCGCCAAACAGTAACTTTCTGATCGGCTATCCTGGAATATCAGCTACACTTGTACGTGCTCTTAGCCTTTTCTCCTCGTCATTGGACATCCGGCGCTCCAATTTGCCCATCTGGAGCCGCTGCACGGCGCGCAGCCCTTTCGCAACACTACTTGGCTCATGCTGACACCTTTCAGCCCCGAATAGAAGGCAAAGTCGAGATCCGCCCACTCGTTGGTGTCTCAGCGCCCGTCAATGTCTCGCTCGTTACCATTGCCTTGCACCGTCGTGAGACGATACACCCCTCCGCCGATTCGGCCACAAGGAAGCATTTGGCCGCCCCGCGCAAGGAAATCACCGATATTGTGGGCAAGGAAATGCTCTTGTACCGATGTTCGCCTGGGAAAGAGTATGAAAGCGTATTGTGCATGGACCTACCCTTCGTCATCTTTATACCATACGGACGCGGTGGCGAGGAGGTAGCGCGGAGAGTCCCGCCTGCAAGCTTACAGTTACCGAGTCGCACGGCCGAGACATTCTACGAACTAGTCGTGACGGTTCAGCAAGGACCTCAGGAACAGAAGAAGTACCCGTTCGCAGTACCGATACAAAGATACGATACCCTCTCCACATTTGGCATGTACAATCGACCAGAGAGTGCAGAACGAGTGACAGATCACCTGGTCACCCTTGGGATAAGTTTGCCGCGTTGGAGTTATGGTCCGCTCGATCCGGTTTCAGTGTACATCAAGCTGAGTCCAAATCCGGACTGGCTGAACAAGGCGAAGAAAGTTACAATACAAAAGATTACGGTTGGCATAGATGAAGAAATCATTTTCAACCACGAAGGAGACGAACCGACACGGAAGGTGAAGACATTGGTGAAAACAACACAGGCAGTCGGAGTCAAGATGCCTGAAGCGGGCTATTTCACCAATCTTGGGCTCGTTTTCCCAGCAAAGGATTTACGAGATAACGCAGGAATAATACCCAGAGGGCAGAAAGAATTTCCAATGTACGCTGTAAATGGCTTTACGACAACTGGCACGCTGTATAAGATTGAGTATTATCTTACAGTAAAGGTAAGCTGAGGCAGGTACAATCTGTTTTCAACTGCTCACCAGCTGCAGGCACAAATGTCGTCGGCACGAGATATTTTGCTCCGCCAGCCTATCGTTGTATGTCCATTTGACCATGCTGGCTGCAAACAAGAGATGGAAGCCATTGAACAAGCCGCCAAGGACGCCGCACATGTTGCACCTGAAAATCCTATGCTCCCTGCTAGCACTATCATTCGATCCAACGACCCTGAAGGCCTACGCGCTCTTGGTATTTCGATTGTAGGAGGTGTACGAAAACCACTGATTGAGTGAACAGCCATAACAAAAGAGTTGGAATTCAGAAAGGATATGGTTGTTTATGGAAAACCGCTACCCTCGAGTAGCACACGCCTTGTGTGCAAGCATGAAGGGTACAGCGAACAACCTCCGTTTCGTCGCAACCCGGGCTCAGTGTTATCCTCTCTGCTTCAGCTACGGCTCTTTTGAAGCGGAAGCATTGTTGGATCACTTCCTGCCCCCACTCTCAAAACTCGAGAGTTTCCAGTCGTGCATAGTCATGTGCGGTACAAAAATACCACTGGGCATACAGCGCAAACTACGGTCACCGTTTGCTCCAACACGACCATGAGCCGTCTCAAACCGAAACCGCTACCGCGTGCATTTGGTCTATTCGAGCATACAATCGGCGCAATGTCTTATACCCAGCGGCCTTGTACACTGTATAAGTCGAATCCTTGAGTTTTTTTGTTCATATTTCTTTCGTCGGGCGTTTGGTGACAGGGTACGCGGGTGGATGGGACGGCCGCTTCAGCATTTTTGTCGTTATGATACCTTCAGTTTCTTTCTCTTTTCAACGTTTAATCGTTATTTGTTGGGGTTGTAAGCGAGCAGGAGCCAGATGGGAGGTTTAGTTGTACGAAGATTTACAGGACTGGTCATGTGGAGAGTGTGGCCGTGTCAGGTGGAGAGCAAGAGGTGCTTGAGTGACGGGGTATGTTATTTGATGAGAGAAGCAAGAGAAGTCGAAGATAGTATTACCACTACTGTATTTCACTCAGATTACAAAGTATAATACTCTTTTTATCAGTTACATATAACTCTTCCATCTGACCACGGTTTGTTTACTTCTTCGTTTTTAAGGGACCGACTCATAAACCATACCTAATAGTACAGCTGTAAACTTCGTTTCGAACATACACGTGAGATGGGTAGACTAAGAGCTAGTGGGGAATGTCGGCAGTGTGGCAAGAATGCCGCGGAGGTTTGTCATTCGAATCTTTTAGAAATGCAAGCTTATCGATAGGCTGGCGCGTTACGTGACTGCAAAGGGTCCTATTCTCCGCGACATCGGCTTCGGGCCAGGAATCTTTTGCATGTATTTGGCCTGCGTCCCTCTTTCCTTTCTTATCTGCAACAGATATCCTTTTGCGCAGGCAACTCTCTTTCTTGTCTATTCGTCTGACGGTCAAATTTGTTTTCTTTCTTGAATTACTGCAATATCCGGCGCTTGCCACCCCTCGTTTCCCCACCAATCTTTCGCGCACTATGAGTGCCATTCTTTCTGCAGATGACCTAAACGACTTCATATCGCCGGGTGTCGCGTGCATAAAACCTATTGAAACACTTCCTGTGCAAAAAGAAGAGACATCGGTACGCTCCTTGTTTGTACTGGCTCAGGGTCGGGCGTATACTAATCTGCTAGAATGCTTACGAAGTCACGACGGAAGAAAAGGCCGCTGCCTCCCAACCGCCACCACCCGCTTCGATATCGCTGACAGACTGTCTCGCTTGTTCAGGATGTGTGACAAGCGCGGAAGCAGTACTGGTCTCGCTGCAATCGCATACAGAAGTTCTAACGACGCTCGATAAATACCGATCACTGCGCGCTCTATGGCAGACACAAAACGGGACGAATGGCGTCGCAAACGGGTGCGGACATAACGGAACAAGCAGCGCTATAAATGGGAGCCAAAATGAGACCGAGGGAAAGTTGTTCGTCGCAAGCGTCTCACCGCAGACGCGCGCAAGTCTGGCAGCCGTCTTCAACGTTTCCGAAGTAGAGGCTGGGAATATGATCTCACAGCTCCTCAGCGGACCAAATGGGTTAAGAACTAGCAGCAACAAGGGCAGCGACTTTACCTGGGTCATCGACACAAACGCCGTGAGAGAGGCCTGTCTGGTAGCAGCAGCAGACGAGGTTACAAATGCGCTCTCACCCACAGCAGCAAAAGCGTCACCACAACCCGGATCTGAAGGCGCAATTGATACCATACCAAAGGCACCTATCCTCACATCAGCATGTCCTGGGTGGATATGCTATGCCGAAAAGACACATCCATACGTTCTGCCACACCTTTCGCGCCTCAAGTCGCCGCAGGCACTCACTGGTACCTTGGTAAAGTCGGTCCTCAGTGAGCGCTACCACGTACATCCGTCGCAGATATGGCATTTGGCAATCATGCCCTGCTTTGACAAGAAGCTTGAAGCTAGTCGTGGCGAGCTCACATCTGCTCCGTGGTTACCGAGTTATAACCAGTCCGAGGAGAAGATACGGGACACTGACTGTGTCATTACTGCTCGTGAACTATTGCACCTTGCTGCCGCCCGTGGTATCAACTTTGCCAATCTTCCTCGTTCTCCACTTTCTCAATCAGACCGAATACCATTCCCTGATCCCAAACTGGATGCTTTCTTGTTCCCTTCTTCGCGCCGGAAGAACCAGAGCGTTGCCGCAGGACCTTCTGGAGGTTACCTATACCACATATTACAAACATACCAGGCGCAGAATCCGGGGTCTTTGATATCAGTAGTAAGAGGTCGCAATGCCGATGTGGTGGAATACTCGGTGGTTCAAGGCTCAGAAACCATCATCAAGGCAGCGCGATTCTACGGTTTCCGCAATATCCAAAACTTGGTACGACGGCTGAAGCCAGCAAGAGCAAGCAGACTGCCGGGTGGCAAGACTGGCGTCAGTAGGAAACCAGGTGGAGCAGGAGCAGCAGGCGAAGGCGTAAAAGATTATGCATATGTCGAGGTCATGGCCTGCCCAGGCGGGTGCACAAACGGGGGTGGACAAGTCAAAGTGCAAGAGGTTGAGGAGGTTCGTGTTTATGAGGGCATACAGAAAGCAAATGGCGACGCGCCCGCACCAAAGCCAGGTCCAAAGGAGCAAAAAGAGTGGCTGGCAAGAGTCGACGAAGCGTACTTTTCAGGTACAGACTCGGGAGACGAAACGGGCAATAACGCTAGTACGAATGGCCACGCCTCTGAGGATATTGTGGACGGGATATCAAGATCCCACATGAAGGATATAATGGCGCATTGGTCACACATTACAGGTGTTGATCAACAGAAGCTGATATATACATCATACATCAAGGTCGAAAGCGATGTGGGCAAGAAGAAGCAGAGCGACATGGAAAGAGTGGCTGGACTGGCTGTTACTGCTGGTGGTGGGTGGTAGTTGTTCTTTCTACTGTGATGAGCATAGACGGGCGTTTCTATAGAATACGTGAAGCGCGGTACTGGTTGGTATTAGAGCATCTCAAGGGATCTGCGAACTTGCTCGCTTGCATTCAAGGGATGTTTGTCTTGAATCTGCAATGATAGTCCCTGGTTTAGGGACCATGAAGTACATGAAAACATCAGCATTTCTATTCCTCCACATGCAAGTATGTTCCTCTCTGTGCAATACACTCTAACTCGTCCCCAACCCTACAGCCCTTATTACTACTTCTAATATACTTCTCACACATGACCACACATCTCCCGTCCGTCCGCTCCCTCCCTTTCCCACGCACACCCAAAACAACGGCCCGCAACCGCCTCATTCCGCACGCCACCCGCCCAAGCACTCCAGCGCACAATCTTTTTTTTTCTTCTCTGACAACGATAACCCTGGATGGCACTCTCAGCGCACTGACTCGAGAGCACACACGGACATAACAGTGCACGGTTGCATTCAGAAAAGTGGTCTAGTAGGAGGCCACTTTTGTCGCACCTTGGGGTGCACGAGCACTTTTTGCCCTAAATTACATGGGACGGGGGTTGGTGGTATGTAAAGTATACAATACGAGTCTACTTCCATACTTACCCCAGGGAAGAGGAGGGTAGCGGGGGAAAGGGAAAATAGTAAGGGTCATGGTTCAAGGGTTATATAAACTTGCATTGTTGACCGGAACTGGTAAGTAAGGTAAGTAAGGTAAGTAAGTAGGTAGGGCAACGAGAAATAATCAGATTGGGACTAAGTAGTAGCTAGGTTTAACCGTGGCTAAACAACATCATTTTGACACATTTTTCATACGCTTTATCTTTTTCGTGACAGGAAAGAAGTCAGCTAGTAGATACAAGATGCGTGGTGCTTGCTTCTCAGCCCCATTTATCTCAGACGAGTAGGAATAATAAGACAGATTGTTACGAGAAAGAAGCCAGGCAAAATGACTTGAAGTATGTAAAGAAACCGGAGGCACCTACCAACACCGAACGAGCAAAGGGTCCCTCTCTCTACCCTTGGCAAAGACCCTTCTTTTCCCTCTCACTTGCATACGTACATACCCGAACATACCCGACTCACCGGACATAACGTGCGTGCGTGCGTGCGTCTTGCTCTCGGGCAACTGCCCCTCATCCTCATATCCAGGGTACGTTCCGTAGATCCAAAAAAGATTCGTACGTAATGCGTCTTTTTGTACGCAAAATCTACGTAACATGTGTACTCGCCCTATGTCTCTCTCTCTCTCTCTCTGTTTTGTCCACGTAGCAAAGCTAGCTAGCTGCCGAGAGGAAAAGCACAGATAGTAATGATGTGAACGGGGATCCTCACACAAAGGACCACGCCCAAAGGTTGGTCGACTGATATGGTAACGTCTTTGTTTTCGGTCCAGAACGCACGAGATGTCAGCATTTGGACCAGGGTGGTGGTGGTGGTGGCTCGAGGGAAGTTTGGGCTGGGATTTGGGTTCAGGATGGCGTGACCGACAGGGCAGGGTATGGTGAGCATGGGGAGCATGGGAAGGAAAAGAAGGGTTGGGCTGAGCTGGGCGGTCCGAAGGATAGTGCTTGGTAATGTATGTATGTATGTATATAGACAAGTAAGGCAAGGGTAAAGAAAGTGCTAAAACTAGATAGGTAGATAGATGCGGATAAGATGTGCTAAACTAGATTTGAGTCGAGGATGAGGATACATATGAGATGAATGAGAAGTAGAACAGGACGAGATGGTTCTAGTGAAAGGCAGCTTGTGAATAGAGAGAAATCCACTCGTCTAAAAGAGAAGACGGAACAACAAAGGGCAGCTGGTGGTGTCAAACTCCCTCCCCTCCCCCCAAATAGAGCCAAGGGGAGGCAAAGAGGCCAAGGTACTAGGAGAAAAGGCCGAATAGCATGGTACATACAAATATTTCTTAGTTTGTTTATTTGCTGTATGTGAACTGGACTAAAAGCCATCCCGGGCTATAATACAAAATATACTATGTCCGTCCGTATTACAATATTACAAGGTTTTGAGTCGCCACTATCGGGCGAGGAAGTGGGAGGAAAAAAAAGGACGCAAGAAAACAAAGAGACGCTAGGAGATAAAAACTCAAGCAACAAGACAGTGTGTTGC